TAACGCACGTTACTTGTAACGCGTTACCCCCAACACTGGTCATGACACAGTGAAGGATGAGATGATCCACAAAGTGGCTCCAAACTAAAACTAAAACCAAAACCAAAAGGACCAAGAGACCAAAAAAAAAAAAACAGGTAAGAACAGGAACTAAACTTTATCTCACCACAAGTAAACTAACACTAAAAATACAACCAATACACAGGTACCTAAGACACGTAGGGACCAAGCAAAGAGCAAGAGAACATAAATTTACTAACGAGAGGAGGCCATTCGGCCCATCAAGCTCGTTTGGGGAGAACTCAACTAATAGCTCAGAGTTGTTAAAATCTTATCTAGCTCTGATTTAAAGGAACCCAGGGTTTTAGCTTCCGCTACACTAGCAGGAAGACTATTCTATACTCTAACTACACGTTGTGTAAAGTAGCTCTTTCTCAAATTTATTTAAAAATGTTTTCCCACTACTTTCCACCTATGGCCTTGAATTCTAGTATCTAAACTAATATTGAAGTAACTATTTGGGTGAACAGCATCCAGACCTGTTAAAATCTTATATACCTGTAACATAGTAACACAGGTGCAAACACACAGTAACAACCACAATGACTGAGAGAGGAAACAGGGCAAGGACAGGCATAAATATACATGGTTAACGAGGGCTAACAGAGGGCAGGTGCGGGCTGTTACAAACAAGACGAGTGGCAATGAGGAACAGGTATGGTTAGATACAGAAAGGCCCAAATACCAAGGAAAACTAAAACCCGGTAAACTTATCATACTACAAACAGGGAACAGGGAACAAAAACAGGGAAATACTGAATAGGATAAGCGGTTTGGAAAATGGATGGATGGATTTCACTACTGGGCTACATTTAGACAGTATAAATCTACAGTATAATAAATCGTTTTCAATCCAAAATATTGTCCTCCATTTGTACCTCTTCCATGAATTTGTTTGACTTTAAAATTGATTTCACTGTATACACACCTCTTGTGTCCCGTGCAGAGATCTGAGGGTCACCTTCACTCTCTGTGCCCATGTTCTTCTGGTCTGTGTTTGTCTCTGACAATATTATTGGCTGTTTTTCACTCTCCCTATATTCCTCCTTTAGTCTTTTTAGTCCTCCTATATTGCCCCTTTTCATCAGTGTCCAGAACAAATCTTGTTCCTAATTTAGACACAAAGACCGTATCACAAACAAACAATAAAAACATAAAAAATCGTAATCACAAGATGACTGGGTCATAGCATCACGAAAAACGGCAAGGCTGGACAAATCAAGGCATGACCAGGCTCTTCAAAATATAGATATAACTTAATTAGGATATAACTGAAATTTTAACACTGACACATTAGAATGGAACAATTACAGTGTAATTAATAAAATTAAATAAAACATTAATTTGTAACATTAATATTAAATATTAATAGTCTTTTGTTTATTAATGTCTTTCTCTTTGTGCTTATAAACCTTAAGGTTATTTACACTGTGTGTTTGCAATTTGGATATTGTAATATTTCAAAAAACTATTGATCATTAGTTATGACGAAGTCAAAGTTGACACGCATCAGAGAAGGCTGTATGCTTCTGTTTCTGGATAGGGGAGAAATCTCTATGACAAAGGGATCGAAGAAAGAAATTACAGCGTTATCTCATTGCAATACATTTAAAAGATCGTTTTTTTATTTGATGGCATTTGGATTTTGAATTATGCTATCAGTCAGTACTACAGCAACTGCAAGTGATGTATTCTATTGATGTTTAATTTCCAATAAAATTTTCTCAGGTTGAAATGTTCCAATATTGAGTTGCACCATGAATACCAAAACAAATCTCATGCACATATTAGTATACTTGGTGCAAAAAAAGATAATTCCTGTATCTCAACTCTTGATGGCACTATTTAGGAAGACTTAATATGAACTGTTGCAGAAAATATACTAAATGAACACTAGAGGGAGATATTTCTAGCCGATTCTCCATCTCACACACATAAACAGACCTAAGAAAGTATTCCCAGTGTGACAGATCAGCTCTTGATGTGAGTAGCCGCAGTGATACAGCAGATTGGAGTGTATTCTTAAGGCATATTGGGAGGCTGTACTGTAGCTGGAAAAAAATGTATTTTTTCATAATATTTCTGAGTAGTGGACTGGTCTGTAAGTACGTCTAAAGTTTTGTTAAAACATGTTGCGATGTCATTTATTGCTTAATTGAAGGTAATATTTCTCTCTGCCTGTTGCAGTACGTGTGGAAGCAGATAAAGTCAATCAGCCTCCTTTGATTAATTCACCTGAGGGAGACAAAGCTGTACTGACATGCAGTCATGATATTACAAATTTCAACAATATGTTCTGGTATGTACAGCATCCAAACAAGGCTCCTGAAGCTCTACTTTATGGATTTGATAAGGTTGATCCTAAAGGAAGATTCTCAATGGGTGTGAACAGAACAGAA